AACGCGCCAAGTGTTACCGCTTCAGCTCAATCCTCGTAACCAAGTTTAGCGATTCGGTGGAGGGCCCCTAATGATACAGATTTGGCGCCGGTCGTTACGTGGCCTTTACACACGAAAAAAAATCTATCACGAATCATAATATTGGCTGCGACGATGTAAGCGCTGGTGAGAAGACAATGTTCGTATTTTGGTCACGTGATGTTCAGCCTGCGAGTCTGCGGAATGCTTCTTACAGCACAGATCGACAGAGAGAACGAGCGGTGATAACGACGGGAATGGATTGATGACATCAAGGAATGGGGCCTTCTCAAAACACAGGAATTCCCCAGGAGAACGGAGCAAGGACGAGATGGGAATCCATGGCGGTCAAACCTCCGACTAAGAGACGGAACGATTGATCACTTCATTGATTGCCCAACACACACGCGCGTGTGCGTGGCTGCGCATGCGCACGGACGCACGCGCGCGCATGCACAAGAGGCACCGGGGCTTTGAGAGAGAAACTTTGAAGGAGAATTTTAACGCAATGGTTATTTTAAATCCTGCCATTACACGCTAATTGCCACAGAAACACCATTGGTGTATTAACAGGGCTTGTTTTTCTCTTCTCTAATAGGAGTGATTGTGTCTAATTTTGATATCTAATTTTAAATGCTTTATCCATGCCTAATTCACACGCACGCACACACACACTCTCTCTTTCTCTCGAGACGGTGGTGCGGATTTTAATTTGCAACACGATTGATGGTCTTGCTGTCAGTTGTTTCAGCGGCGGGATATGAATTCCCAATCTGTAGAAGCAGATGCTCATTATAGACCCAATGTTGTCGGTCATTATGACAGCATGTCCTCTTTTCCTCTGCCGTACACAGACTGACGACGCCCCCATGCCACGTTCCCACGGACACTGGAAGCGTGCTGGCTCGGCGTGACCCGGGTGGGATTGACCCAGCGGCGTCCCACGGGAGCCTTGCCACGCCAGGACGGGACAAGCCGGAGCACGTGCGGTTCGCTCTGCGAGGGCTGCGCACCGCGGTTAGTGGCCAGAGCCGCATTATCTTACCCGGGACACGCTCGGGCCCAGTCGCGGCACCGTGGGGTCAATGGGAATGGGAGAATATTTACCGTAAATTGCGTCCCTTGCTTCGGTCAAAAGATACAAACTACAGCCTGGCACCGGAACGACTGGGACGAGGAGCGCGGGGGCGGTAACGGGGACCGTGGAGCCCCACGGCTCTCGACGCGTCGGGTCCGGGGCCACACCTTGCTGGGCTGCCCCACACGGCCTGGGCCGGCTTCACGGTAATTGTGGTAACGCGGCACCGGTCGCTTGCTCCAGGCCGCCTCGTCAACGCGTTGCCCGCGGGCAGGTGGCCGTACACGGGAGGCCACCTGCCTCCTCCCACCGAACGCGAAGCCGCCTGTCAGCTCGTTACAGACAGAGCGCCCACTCGGCTGATTATCCCCATCGTCACTCAACGCTGGGCCGCCTTCGCGCGACGAGACGCCCCGTGAAGCCACGGGCCGGCCGACGCCGCCGCCGCCGCCGCCACAGCCGCCGCCTCGGTCGCTGCCATCGACCACTGCGGCCGCGTTTACAGGCACTGGCTTCGACGCGCCAACGAGAACCAACAAAGCGCTTCTCGAGATCTTTGTTGCGACGAGGCGGTGGCAAGGAAGGCGCGCATCGTCGTTTCGTCGGGAACATTTGCAGGCGAGCCGCGACGTCCACGAACCATCAAGCGTCAGCCCCTTCCAGATTGCAGCGATGTTGAACACAATGGAGAGCCGGCGATTGGACGCGCACGGGGAAATGCGATTCGTGAGCTGTACTCGGGATCGTAGAGAGACGCTCGGGGAGAGGAGATTGGCTGGCGCGTCGAGATGCCAGGAATTTCTGCACTCGCAATCTGAAGGGTGGGGGGGGGGGGCTGGCTGCTTTGCGTGCGAGCTTCTAAACCGGGCGTTGTATTCGCCGGGCGGGCAGCGTCGCGCTCGGAGCTCACTTGGCAGTTTCATTATCCAAAGGCAAACAAATGCAGGCTGCCAGCTGCTTCCCGTCAGTGGTGCTGCGCTCAGCAGACTGGGTCCCTGGGTACGCGGCCGGCGGGGGGGGGCAGGGCACGCGTGGCGTAGACAGCGGCACACCTGCGAGTTAAGGGCGTCGCGGTGGTTCTGCGCGCACATTGGGAATTGTGATGCCGTAAGAGAAAAGAGAAAAGAGCAAAAATTCCAATCGTGGCCAAAACGTCACGGGCGCCGTGCATTTTGTCTGCACGGGACGACCGTCGCCTTTGGCGGGGTTGGTTGTACTGTACGCCAGGGTGCAACGGGAGAGTCCGGCGATCGCGCGAAGGCATCCCAACATGTCCGTTCTGAGCTAACGAGCGAAAGGCTCGCTCGGGCGCTAACGAACGGACGGTCGACTCAGCAAACCCGAGCCCCGAGCTCCTAGTTGCCTTGGGGGTGGGAAACAGCATGGACAGAGTATTCTCAACAAAAGCAAACAACAGCAAAAACAACAACAACAACAAACAATGCATGCTTGGAAGGAGGGGACGGTGAGCATGCAAAGGGTGCACTCAGAGACGTGTCGGAGAGCAACCAGAGGGGCTGCCAATTAAGACCACTGCACGGACACACGGCAGGGCCTCTGGGGAGAAAGCACCCCCCGGGGGAGGGGTGATGGGGGGGGGGGGCGCCGGTCAGTGCTTTGACAATTTTGGATCATGCATGCACAAGCATTTCATGGACACTTTGGTGCTTCATGCGCAGTCTCAGAGGACGGGAGAGGACGACTGAACCAGACAATGGATACGCTCTGCGTGATGCGCACATACGTACACGCATCTATATGCGACCGACGCCAAAATGGGAATTCGATTAACGCGTATTGTATGCGCGTATGTGCGCAATACATCTCTTTTCTGCGCAGCGTACGCACGTGTGAAGCATTGCAGTGTTTAAGACATTCCGGATTGTTGTTTTTGTTGTTGCGAAATTGTGCAACCGCCAATCGGGTCTGAATTGCGTTCCCTCGGAGATTTTCTGAAAAATGTCTCGTGATCGCCCAGATTGAAATTCCCATCCAAAGTAACTGGTTCATGAGCAGAGAAAGGAGAGCGCTTTATGGGCAAAGTGGCAGAGGAGGAGGCAGAGGAGGAGAAGGCAGAGGAGGACATAGACGAAGGAGTAAGAAAGAGGAGAGGAAGAAGGGGTGATGGGGATGAAGTGAGGTTGGATGGGAAGATCAGGAGACGCTGCCTGACATCGTATACTATGCTCTACCCAGCATGCTCTGCTCTCCCATAATTTTCTGCCCTACCCAGCATGTCGTGCGCTGCTCCCCGCGCCTGCTCCACTCCTGCTTCCACGCAGAGCCAAAGGTCACAGGGTGGCTCGTCATCTAAGCACTGCGGCGACTCCTGCCCAACGATATCCACGGGGAAGAGATACGACGGAACGCCCTTATTTTACTGCGGGCTCGGTGTTTATTTTCTACCGTGTACGTGCTCGTGATTGCGTGTCTCTCCCTCTGTTTCCTACAAGTACATTACCATCTCGTGGCACCCGCCTGGCCACGTCCTCAACGCCCACTGGCGAGGATTTGGCGCAATTATCAGTTCAGCATGTGATGCTTGTTTTGACATTGACGATTGGTGGCGTTTCGCGTCCACCGAGGTTGTTATTCGATCGATGACTCGACGCGCTTTGGTGTTATTTTTGCTCTCGGGCTCGACGTCTCTCGTCAGCGCCGTCTGGGCGCCGTCGTTTTGCAGCACTGCCACCATCGGGACGCTGTCAGTGGAGTTTCTCATCTGTGCTGAGTTTAGCTTGGGGATTTTATTTTCATTTATTCTGACCCGATTCTAATCTTGTCGGAAGTTTAATGCTGATGCGACTCTGTGTGGGCCTAAGCCTCCAGGCTTTGTGGAAGTTCAGCGTTTTGGGCCGCGGTTTGCATTAATAATGCCGTGTGGAAGTTAGTAATCGATCGTCGTTCGGGGCTCAGGCCGGCGGGAGCGTTCAAGGGTTGGAGCGCCACGGGGACTGCGCGCGGTGTGACGCCCGTCACGTGATCGATGACCATCGTGGCGTCCGTGCGGCAGGGAGACGCTGCGCCAACATCATCGCGTAGCGACGGGCACATTCATGGGAAATGTTAATTGGAAAATGCCTAATTTGCAAAATGTTTAATCAACATTCACGTATCGAATTGCAATGAATGTTTCAACGTGACAAATGTTCCGTGCTGTCAAGTGACAGGGGTATAAGCTATAATTAAATTTGAGGCTGCCTTTTCCGAAATGCAATTTCGCGTCATTGAAGATGAAAATGCCAAATGCAAAACAAAACAAAAAATCTCATTTGAATGGCAACTTTCCCGATGCCCCTTTCTGTCAATCCAGCCACAGACCGGTGTTTTTTTTTCACAGTGGGGCCCAAACCACAATGTGATTTTTTTATAGTGGCTGAAAGTCAAACAATAAAAATCTAATCTTAACTTGAACTAGGTTCAAGGCCAAGGGCTCTCTTGGCGTACTCTTCCCATGGGACTCTGGGGGTGATGATTTGTCCTTAATTGACCCCAGACCTGCGTTGCCCACCTACATCCTCGTGCGTTTAATTGAGATTGTATTTTCGTTTCATGTGAACCGCTTGATTCTATTTGACTCCATTCATCGCCTGTAGCCGCGCGCATTTTCAGTTTCCTTGAAATTACTTGAGCTTTCTACGGCATCGTGAGATACTTCCCCTATATTATTATTATTAATGTGACAAAGCGTACCCTGGCCCGCGAATTCCCAGGGGCGAGGGAGAGAGGGCAGAAGGGGGGTCGGGGGGATATGAAAGGAGGGAAGAGACAGAGAGAGAGAGCAAAGGCAGAGAACAGCCGCCCCCTCCGCGAGCATCCACCACGCCACGACAGGTGAGAGAGAGAGGGGGAGCAGTGAGCATGCAGACACCAAAATTGTCAAAATTATCAGCCTGCTGAATACCTTTGGTTGAATTGCTCCAACGGTTACCTTCAGAGTGGTGCGATAGTGTCAGTAGGTTGACACAAGACGCACCAGCGCCCGACCCAAACACAGTGATTCTGAGCGGGTCACCCCCGAAGATGCCTATATTCTCACTGATCCAACGCAGGGCCTGGATTTGATCCAGGAGACCGTAATTTCCTTTAGCTGCCTGATCACCTGTGCTTAGGAACCCTGCAAAGACAAACACACAGACACATGCCCGGTTAGAACACTGGCAGCATCGCTTCGGTCGGTTTTTACTGCTTTCAAAAAACACACACATTCATCTGTGCAAAGCATTTTTTTTACTTGCCCATTCAGAAACCATTCACATTAATATTAAACCGCGCAACCCACAAAGGCAGCCTCCCCGTGTAGCGCGCTGCGGCCACGTGTAGAGGCGGTTTGTTATGAATCACGAGCCACGTTCATCGCCTCCAGCTTTTCGCCAAAAATCAATTAAAAGCACAAATCCCGTGTGCATCGCGATACACGGAGGGCGAACACGAGCGGAGATTACACGCGCACGAAGACAATGATGCTGAGAGACTTTCCGGGCAAGTTCAGTCAGCGGGCACCAATTCAATTTGGAACGGCTCACAATTGCATGGTATTGGCCAGCACTGTGCCTAGCCGCCTTTGTCTCCCCAGTGCTGACGCTTACACATCGCAGCAGGTATGCGTTTAAAGGGCATTTATTCGAAGCCTCGGACCGGTTCTGATACCACTCGCCACGGATGTGAGCCGTGGCTGGGAATCAAACGCAGGTCCCCGGGTTCGTAAGTAAATTGCCGCCGGCCACTGTGTCAAAACTCCCCACAATGAACCTGCACACGCATGACGCACACACGCAGACACACGCAGACACATCGTGAACGTCATGGGAAGGGACCGTGGTGGCTTGGCCCCTACCGTGGGTGGCTCTGACTGCTGATGAGACACTGTGTGTTGAAACCGCTCCAGAGTTTCGCGTGTGCTGAATCAGTGCTGCTGAAATGATGCGCTCTCAGAAGGCCGTGGGACCGATGAATTGCGTGGGGAATTATTTTACTTTTGATGTGGAGATACCAATACGTGAAGGAGAGGTATCGTCTGCGTGTCTACTTAGTGACTCACTGCTAAAGGTTCTGACCTCTCTAGCGGCGTTCGCTAATCCCATTTAGCGAAACACGGCACTCGGTAGCCCCGGGGATTGAGCAACATGCTTTTAAGAAACCGCAAACGGTAAGAATCAGCAAGGCAGACGCATTCCTATCCTTGTTTGACAGTTACCCTCACTTGGGCACCTTTGTGTGGAGTTTGCGTGTTCTTCGCCTTTTCTGCATGGGTTTCGTTCTGGGTTCTCCGGTCTCGTCCCATAGATTAAACAAAATCAATCTAACAATGCGCCTCGTAATGGCCAAAACATCCCAAACCTGAAAGATTTCGTACAAAGTACTCAATTGGGGATCACGCAACAGCGCCAGCAGCAGCAACATCGCCCACCTTATTGCGAACATACTTGGCAGGACCCTCCTGAAAAGGAGCCCTAAGTCTCGGCGAGGGCTTCCCTGGGAAAACCACAGCGGAACGTAGCGCTACATTCAGCGCGGCTGAGCCTGGCAATTGGCGTGAAGACGCGCCCTGTTTGTCACGAATCTACTGCACGGCGGGACCCCCCCCCCCCCGTTGCGGTCCCCGAAACGTCGCCCACTCGGAGCTCACTGCGGAGGCGGCGCTGCCCTTCGTCGGAGGAGCGGCCGTCTCAGAAGAAACGCGATCGAGGTCTCCAACGGCAATCGATGGGCTTCGTTACCGACCCTACGGAGCGCTCGCTCACTCGCTCGCTCGCTCCCTTCGGCGTGCCAGTCAGCAACTTACGCGCGGGCTCTCGTCGATTCTCTATCGCCGGAGCTGAGCCCGACTGAATCAAGAACACACGCCAATTGTGTGCAGCTATCAGCGGCTAGACCAAGGCCATCAGACTTGGCGAGCACGGGGGGGGGGGGGGCGGTGGGGGCTCTTTCCCAAGCCAGAAGGCAGCATTCATCCATCACCCGAATGTCGGGGGCCACGGGTGCAGAGCGGGGCGCGGGCCCCCTTCGCCCTTCCCAGCATCACGCCGACGGTAAAAAAACGCCGTCGTGCGCTTTCCCGGCAGTCGCGACGGCCGCAACTGCGAACCCACGGAGCCGCGCGCCGTCACCCGACCAGCCGAGTTGGATTGGGGGCGGTGGCGGCCGCCGAGAGTCGTTAGGGATGACCGGGGGGGGGGGGCCCCGGGGGGGGAGGTTTCGGGGGGGTCGTCCGGGCGGTGGGACGGCTTGTCTCCGGGACGCTCTCTCCGAGTCGATGGCTCGATGCCGGTGAGCGCTCGGTAGCTTCCAAACGCGTGTGCGTTTTTTGCGGGGCAGTGCACCTTTGAGATTCCCGTTACAAAAGTAGGTCGCTGTGTTCAGCGCTGAGTCAGGGCCCCAATCCCACAATTTTAAATTACGTGCAACTCTCTCTCTCTGTTTCTGTCTCTCTCTCTCTCAAGTTGTCTGTCCAAAATGGCTGGGTCGTGGGCTCAAGCTCTTGAGCCGTGACGAGGAAAGGATATTCGTTTTGGTTTCCACTTGACTTCCTCGGCAGCAACACCACCGCCACCAGCAGGTTAATATCACACCCGGCACGCACACGCACCGTCACTGCACGATAGATCATTGCCGATAGAACATTCACACGTGGCTCTCCACCACTGCGAATCCCCTGGTCCCCTTGCACTAGAGATCAGGAATCTCAAGGGCTCCTATTTGATTAAACCCAGGCCTCGACTCGTCCATCCCTCTCGATGGAACGCGTCTTCCCTCGAATGACCCCTTCCGCCCACCCTGTTATGCCGCACACGCACACACAAGGACAAAGATCTCCCCGGAAACTTGACAAGACTTTTTTTGGGCAAGCGCTGTTAGCGAGCACCTATGAGGGCCAGCACGGCACACGAGGGAGTCAGTGTGGCCAGAACCACGCCCGGTCGCCTCTGTTTCCCTAGTCGTGATGTTTACACACTATGCCGGGTACTAATTTAAGTCTGAGTCGACCTAGGCGAGACCCGTGACCGGTTCCACATATTCATCGCATATTGGCAACGAGTGGGAAGCGGACTCGGGTCGCCAGGTTTGGAGCGCAGTGTGCTAACCACTGCCCCACCGCTCCTCACACGTGTGCGCACTCAAGCACAGGTGTGCGTGCCCCGCACTGCTCCGCTGGCTTACCGCAGGCTACCTGGCCCGCACGTGTTAATTAGTCCGGGGAGCCTTTGCTGCGTGTGGAGAGGGTTACCATTTAGCACATTTGCGGCCGTGCGTCATTACACGCGGTGTTGTTTGAAGGTTGCTGATTGCCGCTAAATGGTGAATTCACTGCGATTCTTTAAAACCGTTCCTCGCGGTGAAGAGCGGAGCAAAGTCCCGCTTCGCAGCGCCGCCAAGACGCGCGTCACATCTTGGCGCCGAGGTCAAGGCCAAGACGTTATCGAGGCCGATGCTACCGACGGCCTCCGCAATTGGCAATCGCCTCCATCTGTCATATACTTGCAACAGTCATCCCCTGTATTTGTTTAATGTTTCTGTAACTTAATTTCATTGTGGTATGATCAGTCTAATCTGACCGAGTTGACTCACGCGACGGTGAATTTATTATTTAACAAATGATTCATGTCTATTCAGTACTTTCAATTTCTCACGCGGCACAGTAGTTTTTTTTGTGTGCCGATTTCTAATTTGCTTCATTAATGCACTTGACTGTTTTTTTTCTTTTACACGTAGGAGGCTTTCACGACCGGTATTATTCATAATAAAGGGGTTTGGGTTAGATCGCATCCAGCATCATCTGGCGATTTGCCCGATGATGCTGGATGTAATTACCAGCGAAACGTCGTACTACTCAAATTGTAAATGTTGTGATTTTACTCTCCAACACACCGGTGGGCTTGAATTATGAACTAATTGGCGCGTTTTGTTTACGTGACGAACCTTACTGGCTGTGTCGGATGACGGAGGGTTACGACGCATTTTTATTTACGCGATCTCATCCAAAAACCTTGGCTATGAATGGTTAATTTAGCATTCGTCGTGTTGGTCAAGCGGGGTCACTCTGGCAGATGCGACTCTATCCATCGTCTCTCTTGAGTTCTCACCTGGTGAACAAATGAACGTGAAACTCCTGCCTCCTGCCAGATCATGCAGCCGCTGTGAGGTCGACAGGCGACCTTCACACTCCCCCTACCCTAACCCCCCCCCCTCCCTCCGTCCCCCAAGGCTTCATTTCTCAACTCGATATTAAACGCTGCCACCCGCTGGGTCTGCGTGTCGCACATTTTGTGACTTGGCCAAAAGGACGAAGCTGGGAGGGTGGCCTACATCAGAGACGTAGCTACTGAGTGCGCAAGCAGTGCAACTGCCCCGGGCCCCACTGGGGTGAAGGGATCCGGGTGCCGAGCTAAGTAGAGAAGGGGGAGGAGGTGGAGGGGGGGGGGGTGATTAGGCAGGACGAGGGCTTCATCTAATTCCTTGTCACTGAGGCCGTGCTGCCAAGCGTGCCCCGACATTGCCCTATTTAGCCGCATTCTGGCAGGGCACTCACCCCACATCGCGCGGGGCGCACCGACGTTGCCACCAACTCTGCCGGCGAGCCCCGAAAGCCGCTCAACCCACGAGTGAAGTCTGTGGCCCGTCGCCGAGGCATTGCGCAATGCGCCGTGGATCCTTGAGAGCAGCGCTTCTCACACTGCGCTCCGCGTGGCCCTCTATATGTGTCTGCCCGTTGCACAACCATAGAGACTGACCAATACATATCAGGTCGGTCGATTTCAAGGCTAATTGACATTTTACGGTGCGTTTAAGAGACGTTTTAATTTTGAAAACATGTTATTGGCGCGTGATAGTCCTCAACATTTCCATTTAGATGGTTGGCAGTGCGCCCCGAGTCCAGAACGGCTGTGAACGAGCGCTGCGGTGACCGCGGTGGATGCTGCGATGAGGAACCCTCGTCTGCTCAACGGGAAGCTGAGCGCATCCGCGTTGACCTCAAAAATCGTTTCCTGCAAGGCCCCGGGGTCCAGGCGGCGTGGAGTTCGTGCCGCGGCTTCCACCACCTCCGCCCTCGCCTCATCATGATCGGCCACCCCCCCCCCCGCCAGCATCGCTGCATCTGCATGGCCCCAGCAGGCT